ATCATGACCATCATCATCATCATCATCAATTTCGTTCACATCATGAATCTACATGACCTTGTCTTTTTAGCAGTATCTCGCTTATTTTTGCTCTATTTTGTCTCAAATTTTAGTTGACCAGCCCACCTATACTTGTTCCAAACAAGTATTATGTCTAGTTTATTTATTTATTTTTCTTAATTCGACCCACTTTTTTGTGTGCAAGATAATTTAAAAATGGCTCAAGCAAATGTCTTTAAATTTAGCACACGTATTTATAGGCATATGAACAAAGCACAACAACGTTTTAAACCTTGACCTTGACTGATGACGTCATCTAGGCGCCATTTTGTGAATTTTTTTGAAAATTTACTCATGATCATATTTTCATAACGGTAAATCATTTTTCATTCATATTCAACATGATCAAGGTCAATATCCGTCCGGTCAATTTCGGGTCAAAAAACGCGCGCCTGCGCGTACGTCCGCGCGTCAGTGCGCGCGCAAAATTTTTAAATGCTCAAAATCGTCAATTTATTTTGCATACGTTTTAGGTCATTTTAAGCATTTTATAAAAATTTGCGCGTTTTCGCGCGTAACACCATTACAAAACATAGAATCGCCATTTTTTTTTCTTTCATGATATTTCTCATATTTTTTCAAGGAATTTGATACCATGTTTTTCTCTTTATGACCATTATTAACAAGATGAGCGTAAATTCAAGATAAATGTCAGTGCGCGCGAGCTCTTGTAATACATAACATACATGGGCAAAAAAATGCCTATACACAATCCATTATAGCTCATTGGGATGCACCTGGACCCCAATTCTGTTTTAATATTTGAAAAGAGTATGAGTCAGAAATATGATTTCATGTCTCATTTGGCCATTAAGTGTATCGTGACATCATCTTAAAGGCCTTGGAACTCAAAATACGAATTTGCATATTATGACGTCAGCATATTTATGGAAAATTGATTGTATCTCTGTATATATTGATTGATTTTCTTCAAAATTTCAATATGTTGTAGCTAAGATAATTCTCTACACGTTAAAAAAAAACTTTTTCATTTTGATGACGTCATCAGAGTGAAAATTTTGATTAAAGGCCTCATGTCAGAAATTTCATAATTTGCGTGTTATGACTATAGAAGGTGAATTTCGTTCACGTAATGAATCTACATGATAGTGTTTTTTAAGAATTTTCAAGCAGTATCTCGCTTATTTTTGCTCTATTTTGTTTTCAAATTTAATTTATTTATTTATTTCTTTATTTTTCTTATTTCGACCCACTTTTTTGTGTGCAAGATAATTTGAAAATGGCTGAATCAAATGTCTTAAAATTTAAGACACGTATGTATAGGCATATGAACAAAGCACAGCAAGTTTTCAACCTTGACCTTGACTGATGCCGTCATCTAGGCGCCATTTTGTGAAATTTTCTGAAAATTTACTCATGATCATATTTTCATAACGGTAATCAGGTGGGCTGTATCTAATACAGACCACCTTATAATGTTGTTAAAATTGCCTTTATTTATTTTTCTTATTTCGACCCACTTTTTTGTGTGCAAGATAACTTGAAAATGGTTCAATCAAATACCTTGAAATTTAGCACACATATGTATAGGCATTAGAACAAAGCACAGAAATTTTTTCAACCATGACCTTGACTGAAGACGTCATCTAGGCGCCATTTTGTGAAATTTTCTGAAAATCAACTCATGGTCATATCTTCATAACAAAAGGCCATTTCTCATTCATATTTATCATGATCAAGGTCAATATCAGTCCGGACAATTTCAGGACAAAAAACGCGCGCGTGCGCAAAATTTTAAAATGCTCAAAATCGTCTTAAATTTATTTTGCATACGTTTCAGGTCATTTTAAGCATTTTATAAAAAAATCGCGCACACGCGCATGCGTGCGCGTTTTCGCGCGTAACACCATTACACAACGCAGAATCGCCATTTTTTTTCTTTCATGATAAATCCCATATTGGTTTAAACAATTTGATACTATGTTTATCTCTTTATGACTATGAATATTAAGATGAGCGTCCATTCAAGATAAATGTCCGTGCGCGCGAGCTCTTATAATACATAGCATATATGGGCAAAAACATGCCTATACAAAATCCATTATAGCTCTTTGAAATGCACCGAGACCCTCAATTTGTTTTCCATATTCTGATAGAGTATGAGTTGGAGATATGATTTCATGTCTCATTTGGCCATTAAGTGTATCGTGACATCATCACAATGGCCTTGGAACTCAAAATACGAATTTGCATATTATGACGTCAGCATATTTATGGAAAATTGATTGTATCTCTGTAAATATTGATCAATTTTCTTCAAAATTTCAATATGTTGTAGCTAAGACAATTCTCTACATGCTTGACAATAACCATTTTTCATTTTGATGACGTCATCATAGTGAAAATCTCGATTAAAGGCCTCATGTCAAACATTTCATAATTTGCGTTATCCCTATAGTAGGTGAATTTCGTTCACGTCATGAAACTACATGATATTGTTTTTTAAGAATTTTTAAGCAGTATCTCGCTTATTTTTGCTCTATTTTGTCTCAAATTTAAGTTGACCAGCCCACCTATACTTGTTCCAAACAAGTATTATATGTCTAGTTATCTATGTTTCATCATCAAACAGCATCTCCCCTCTATTCTCTTTATTAATGGTAACAATTGAGATAAATTACATCTTTCCATCCCTATAAATACCACTTTCATACAGACATGTTCAAATAAATAAAGTGGTCTCCTTTTATCAATGTTTCATCATTAAAACATCACCCCCTCTCTATTCTCTTAATTACTGGTAACTATAGAGATAACATCTTCCCATCTCTACAAATTGTCCATTTTCATACAGACATGTTCAAATAAATAAAGTGGTTTCCTTTTTATCAAAGTTTCATCATCAAATGTCACCTCCCCTCTATTCTCTTTATTAATGGTAACCATAGAGATAACATCTTCCCATCTCTATAAAATATCCATTTTCATACAGACATGTTCAAATAAATAAACTGGTTTCCTTTTTATCAAGGTTTCATCATCAAACGTCACCTCTCTATTCTCTTAATTACTGTTAACTATGGAGATAACATCTTCCCATCCCTATAAATTGTCCATTTTCATACAGACATGTTCAAAAAAATAAGCAGGCCTCATAATAATATCATTTCTTTCTTTCTTTTAAGCCATGTGTTACACAAGTTTTAATAGTGAATTAAAAAGGAAAATACTAAAAAGGTGATTTAAATTTCAGAGACAACCTCATTTCTTAAAAGTCATTATTACAATGATTGATATCATTAGCCATATCCTTCAGACACAGCACTTCAACACATTGCCTTCAACATGTTGCATGGTTTCATAAACATGTTTTTCTACCTCCAGAGACAATTAAAAGTATAAAGATCTATGGATAGAAATCAATTATATATATTCATAGGTCAAAGAAAACTTAGAATATAAATGCAGACAAGCTTCAAGAGCTGTATGTTCATCTTTTAGGTACCCCAAAGTGCTTTGTCTGTACATGCCAAAGGGGGAGGATAGAGAAATATACATCTTGACACAAATCATAGCGAAAGGTGTGGTGAAAAGAATAAATATTAACTGATTGCACATGAAACCAAATAACAAAGCAAACTACAATGTATATGTACAGTGTACTGTACAAACTACAATGCCTGGTGAAGCCTGGTACCAACTAATACAAAAAGAAAAAATGCACACTCATAGCTAGTTTTCCATGAACTTTACCAACTCATGCACGAAATGTAAACAAGACTCACGTCACAGTCACATCTAACCCTTGCACAAGAGCCCTACAATATATTTTAAATATATATATATATATATATATATATATATATATATATATCTTTAAAAGATATGTATATTCCAGTGCATATACTCTCATGTTGCCACATGAAATACATCATCCCACTTTGCAAACTGGATTCTAGCCAAATTCCTTTTGTCAATATAGTGCCTTCTCCTTGGGTCAAAGTATAATTCAATCATGATTAAATATAACTGGGGCATCACACCACTGCGTGTGCAAGCTTGCACAGATCGTTGCCCTTCTAATCCGGGTTATAAAAAGTAATCAAAATACCAACTCCATTACTGATACATGAACCCACTATAATGGCTTCTTTTTGATGTGAATAAACATCCTGTTCCTCCTACATTAGATGCAATAGAGCATGACGCTGCTGGAAAATTACATTGAAAGACAGTCTAGAGTAAACAAGACGTATTTCACAGAAAAAGGACATCTGCAATCTCTTGTAAATGTATATTTTTAGGCATCTATACTACTCATGCACGCCTTCTGTTTGTTAAAAGTTCATTATGTAAATTCTACTTTTCAATTTCAGTTTCTTATGAACTAAGATAGGAAGTAGGATTTAGATGAAGTCATTGCTATAAATATTTTAGGTTTTTTTGATTTTGTAGGTCTTTTTTTTTTGGGGGGGGGGGCAATAGAATATCCTTTATCCAACTGAAAGTATAATACCAAGCTGGAACAGATTTGATGGGTAACATATCACTATACGTCGATTCACAATAAGAAAAAGACAATTGTTATATAAAACTGCTGGTACATATAGAATGTCTAGGTACGATGTTAAAACTGAAGCGATATATGAACCCAATATGATGCATTCTATACATGTACATTCTACCTCTATACTCCCTACCATGTATTTTCCATTGAAATGCTTTGCTTGCTCACCGAGCACAGAAAGAATGCAAGCAAACAGCCCAATACAAAACACAACAATCACTTGCTATTTTGGCTAGCCGTTTAGGTATCTTAATATCCGTCATTATATCGCTCCTGGCTAGCGGCCCATCGATGCGGGGTAAATGCCATTACCAATGCCAACCAACCTAATGAGCACTGGGGCACACACGAGCTCAGAATGGAATAACTACGAAAGATACAAACGAGGCCTGCATGAGAGGCGTAAACTCACTGATATTATGTATCTCCACTTGTAAGATATCTCAAGCACATATAAATCCTGTGCACATGTATACGTCCAAGTGACTTGGCATGCACCACTAGCTGCCGACGCAGGTATCTATATATTTATCCTCTCTGCACTGGTGGTATATTAATATCTGCTCCTCGCATCGAGCTGCTATCCTGTATTGCGCGGCTCGCTCTGCTCTACTGCTGGTAGATCTGCCTTTATTCAAAACCCCAACTCCCGGTGTCGTCAACAAACGCAGTCGGCTAACTGACTGGCAGTCTTGTCACGCTCAGCTCAATGCCAGATTGTCTACTTGCCAGCATATACTTATTGGTCTTCTCTGGCTTTTCTGAAAGACAGTTAGCTCTTAATGGCATTGTTTATCATTTTCAGGTTTGCAGTGTGCATGAGACCGGGGAGAAATAAACAATTTTATTGTTACTTTGTGAATGACAAGTTTTGGTTGAATGGATACACAAGCCATCAAAAAAAAACTGTTTGCTTTTTATCTCTCTGTGAGGGCCGTAACTGTATAACTTTCACTCTATTTACTATTATAGGCCTACTTTCTACGGTAGACTCAATTGACCTGCCATTGGCAGGATTTTGTTTCTGTGTATGTATGTAGATACATAGGCTTAACAGTATCAAATATCAAGTGCTTTTTAAACTCATTTCAAACATGTATATTGGGCTCATATTGGGCTCATATATCACTTCAGCATTAAAATAAATTTTCTTTAGTTTTATTATTTGTATTATCATTGGTATTGTTGTTGTTGCAGTTGTTGTAGTTGCGGTTATGGCCGTTTGTTTACATTTTCATCATAATTTATTTTTTACCTCTCACTTGTCCAATATTGATGTAAATCTCCACTGCATAGCTAAGAATTATTAGTATCTTGTGATCTATCAACTATTTATTGATGATAGTAGGATAATTGCAACAGGAGATAGGAAATACTATGAAAACAGCAAAAAGGCTATTCACTGTTTCTCTTTGTAATTCCTCTACACCGAAAGTCTTAAATAATTGTGATTACAATCCGATAAGTCCCTGGGTAGGATCTGGGCGAATAGCTGAAGCTGGGGGAAAGGTTGATGCACTTATTATGAGATTAAAAACCAGCAGTGCTCGGTAATAATATTGATTTGTGTGTTCTTTTGAGGTATTAACTGAGGTAGTAAGGGTTGGGGGCATATATAGAGATTAACATGCACTGGCACATTCTACCACAAGACCTACCATAAGATCTAATTACGATAACGCTATAGCTATCAGAGAGTTAGTTCGAGTGAAATGTCCTATACTTCAGAAGACAGACATTGCTCCAGGCCTTTTTTTCATTTCGTCAAAGGTTTAGGTTAGTGTCAGGGTTGCAAATGTGTTTTTAGGTTAGGATTAATAGTTGGATTAGGCCGAATAAAAAAAAAAAAACATGTTTAGCGTCCTGTTTTTTTGAAAAATAGGAAGGAGGAGGCCCTTTTTTTTTTTTTTCTTTCTTTCAAAATGGCCGTTCGGTACATTTTCCCTGACAGGCGGGCTATTTTTCAAGATGGCCGCGGACATTTATTTTTATTTTGTTTAAATCAGAAATAAATCAATTTTAGCAGTGTTTTTCATGTTTTTTTTCTTTAAAAAAAAAAAAAAAAAAAAAAAAAAAATTACAACATTTTAAAAAAAAAAAAATTTAAAAAAAGGCGGCCCCCCAAAAAGAAGCGGGCGGGGACGCTAAACATGTATATTTTTTTATTGGCCTTAGGGTTACAGTTGCATTAGTGGGTTTGTAGGCTAGGACTAAGATTAAGGTTAGGGTAAGGGTTCTGCAAATTAACTGTCAGAAGAGCAAAATGTGTCACACAACCAAAGCCAGAATACATTTTTTGTATTTAAAAGGGAGGTGAATATAGACTAGCCTTCATTCACTTTGTGTTTGTCTGCCAGGTGTTTTCAGGTTACATGCATCGATCTACGTCACAGTATGTATTCAAACTGTTCTAGTTTAAAAATAGTCTTTGCAGGTGGTAACAGACTATAAGCTAACAATTCTTCTCTCGTCCAAATCATCCAGTATTATCCGGCAAGTGCTTTACTTACCGATCATTTACTCTGAGTTACCGCATCATAAGTACAATTAAAGGTTGCATTTGTATCATTCGCCTCGAGGCTCGATGTACCTCATTTAGATGCTACTTGCACTATGTGTACATTCAGATAAACAGCAGACTTTAAAATGCTTTCAGGTTTGTTACCTGTGATCAATATGTCACCATGTTTGTAAACATGCAGTGTTATTCTACATCTATTACTAACTGGTTTGTGTGATGGATTGCAAGACAACTGTCAATTGGCAAAGGGCAAGGGCAAGATCAAGATCACATATAACAGCGCCCTCTACAGAGCATTGATGTCTCTGTTATGGCAGGCATGTTTTTATAGCACCATGGTGTAATTGGCCCTCATTAGCTCCGACATTTCTCCCCAATTCCTTGGACAAATTACTGCCTCATGCATGTGTCCCTCCACAACATTTGGCGTACGTGTGCTTGCCATGCGTGCGTTAGGCATGTTTTCCAGGTTTGGCCAGGGACCCTTTTAAGATCATACTTTGAACACAGTCATTAATTGGAATCAGCACATCCATTCATCTGGTAGTGTAAATTGATACACAACACCTCCATGTAGTATTAAAGATAAACTTGAGTTCTGGTAAAAAAAAGAAAATGAATTCTCACAGAATCTAACGAAACTTACACTGAATGTCATGTGCCAAACAATTTTGGAAGAAAATGTATACTGGCTGAGTAATGAGCATAGAAAGATAAGGAAATCAGGGTAGTACTAGCCCTGACACCATGTGTGTTGTCCCATATACATCTTTCTGTGTAAGTGATTGTTACTTTACCAAGACTCTGCCAAATTTATGATGATTTTGATGACTCCAGAACCTTTCATTACACACCATTACTTACATGCTATATGATCAACTTTTCTGATCCATTCCACACCTTTTCTTTCACAATGCAATCGCATTACCAGAACTCAAGTTTATCTCTAATCCTGTCACAACGCAATTGGATCATACATGTAGGCCAACAACTCTGTTTTAATGGGACTAAAATCCACGACTTGGGCTACAAAAAAAATATGGAGAATAAATCAAAGCTCTTTCTTGATATAGCATTCATCATCCCCCCAAATTTTGTATTTGGTTCTGTGAAAATTGTTTTCCCAGGACAGAACTCAAGGCTGCCTTTAACGAGCATCACATGACATGACTAGTCTGCATGCCTGTATCACATGCTCCAACTACATGAACACATAGCATAACCGCATTATAAGTGTGAGCTGTAATGACAATATCCAGGGCAGACTACATGTACAAGAAAAGTATGTACCATATACATGTAGGTCACTCAGGGTCATGCTGAAGGTGTAAGATGTTATCGGGCATTTCACAAATGACCTTCCATCCATGCAATAAGATGCTACTTCTCATAGGTGATCTCACATTTGCACCAGCAACAGTTTCTCCAGCGACATTGGCACTAGTGAAATTTGCTCTGGTGACAATGACTCTGGGCTGAATTTTGTCAAAAGTATTCAGGTAGAGTTGCAATAGGATCTATGGTTAGGTTTGGAATTTTGGTCCACGGTTGAAGAGAGAAATTTGGTTATTAATTATAGGAAATTTGGTTATTAATTATAGGAAATTTGGTTATTAATTATAGGAAATTTAGCCATGGAGAACGTAGAATCTTCTTATCATCATGGTTGTGGTGGGCAACAAGCTTTAATTCAGGATTTAACAATGCCTTGTCTCCAGGACACATACATGTACAGTACATGTAGGTGCCAAAAATATAAGTCTGACCCCCCCCCCCCCCCTTAAAAAAATATATAACAAGAGGGTCAAATACGAAGACCCTAAAACGTCATTCCGCAACCCCTACAACCAAAAGTTACGGCAGAGCTCTACTTTAATGTATCAATTATTGCATAGACGTGAACAAGGCTCCATAACTAATGAGACAATCCAATGACCATCCATTGATTTAAGATCTTTCATGATTGTACGGAGACGAGGTCAATTACTTGGAGTTTGCTATCAATCAGCTCATGTTATTTGTCATAATTGATAAGATAAACATGTTCCACTAACAGTGAGCTCACCATTTGCTCACCAGTCACCAGTCTGTAATATACTGTATACATGTATGATGTTTAACATTGAATTACATGAGAACATGAATCAACAATCTCACCCATTGGATAGGCCTTCTAAGCCCAAGACAACTTGCGCTGGGGTCCGTGGAATTGTATTCGACAACTTTGACATTTGAAGTGTTAGGCCCCCCCCCCCCCCTCCTAATTCAATAAAAGTGAATAACTTGCAAAAATAATAATTTGTTTAAAAATATCCATTGGCACCAGCAAACTCTAATTACATTCCATTACCTTGAATACTAATGAATTACTCCCTGCAATTGTGTACATTCAGCCATGAAAGAAAAGGTTCTTATGGAATGAGCACCTAGCTACATGTACATGCAATGAGTGGGAGTAAGGACCAGTCTGCTTCACACGTACGTGTCTACGCTTTGTCTATGCTATGTTAGATACCGTCATAATTTCTAGTAAAGGGCACAGAAGAAACTAACACTAGTAACACTACCCATCCCATCCTGCTCTTTCAGGTCTGCAATTTGTCTTGTACCCTGTTCATACTTGCGCCCTCATCCTAGTATGAAGTGGAAATGCCCAGGTTGAGAGAAAATCCTGGTCATAACAAGTGAAGCTTTCGAAAGTTAGCATAATTGTTTTCAGACTCAGTTTGTCCCACACTGAGATGGGACCAACTTAAGACATGGTATTAGTATGAAAGAGGTGTACACTACTACCCATTGCAGAACACACAAGACCATGCAGATGACTGGTGTATATGAGCCAGTAACATTCCAAGGTCCTGCAAAGGAAACCTGAAAGATCTGCCAAAGGTAGTGGTAAAATCAAGTGCAAAGTTTGTCCTGCAAAGAGCATGGACTGACTTCAGACATGGCATGTGAAAGAGGGCATTTATGATAAGTTTCAGAGCACTGGGGACCATGTAGAGAGCTGGTGTATATGAGCCAACAATATTCCTAGGTCCTTCAAAGGAAACTGGATAGATCTGCCAAAGGTAGTGCTGATATGTACGTTTGTTTGTTTGTCCCGCACCAAGTGGAAACCAACTTCAGACATGGCTTCAGTGCAGTATGAATGAAACATTTCTGATGAGTTTTAGAGCACTGTTGTTTTGGAGCCAGCAACATTCCTAGGTCCTCCTGAGGGAACCTGAAGCATGTTGATCTGCCAAAGGAAATGGTAAATTCAAGTGCGCATTTTTTTCCTGCACAGAGCGAGGACTGAGAACCAATGTGAAAGATGCATTTCTGATGAGCTGCAGAATGCTGGGGACCATGTAGAGAGCTGGTGTCTATGACCTAGCAACATTCCCAGGTCCTCCGAAGTAAACCTGATAGATCTGCCAAAGGTAGTGCCAATGTGTACATTTTGTTGTTGTCCCCCACCAAGTGGGAACCAATTTCAGACATGGCTTTAAAAGTATGAATGGAGCATTTCTGAT